GGGGGGTTGGTCTGTCTGGCTACGACATTGTGCATGGTTCTTCTCTTGGGACAAGTTGTTTTGTATTCTTTCATGCCAGTGGTTACACAAATGAAATTAGTAAGTCATAGAATCTCGTTCCTTTCCTAGTTAGCATAGGCAAAATTTGAAGGAAACTTTTGTGAATGAGCCAGTGAAATGCCAAGTTTATGTTGAATGTTGAGAAATTTTGGTGGGAGGGAGATATGAATCCTCTCACAAAGCAGTAATTCCAGCACATTAGTATACTTGCTAGCTTTACTCTGGGGTTTATATTCCTAATTTGGCCTGTCCAGCTCCATTATAGGGTGGGGGGTAAGAACAGTCCAGAAACTAGTTGTGTTGTAGAAACCTTGCAATGAAAAACACATCTTCTCTGTTCTAGAACACAGCAAATTAAAAAAACAAAAACAAAAAAACCTTCACATATCACAGATTGCATTGTATCTTGGAGAAGGGACTTCTGTGGATGGGGAAAGATAGGCAAACCATTTTGAAATGTGGGGCAGGAGCTCTACTGTTTTTTATTTAAAAGAAAATTGGAAAAGCCATTCATAAAGTAACATAGGTTTTTTTAATTTAGTTTTTCCTTTTAAACAGGAGATTTGATTTCCAGTGTTCAATTTCTGTCATAATTTACAATAATGTTCCTTTGATCTTTTTACTGTATTATACACAGAATAATCACACTTAAGAAGGAATATGTTTATTATATAAATGCCTCAATGCAGATTAAGGCCTAATGTAAAGTAAAACTTAAAATTTATGCAGAATGTTGTAATTATCTTGTGGCTCTTCTGGCAGTTGGTATTACAGTGCAAAATATAATTGCTTTTTGTTGTAGTAGCTCTAGACGTTAAATTCCTCTCTTACATCAGAGATGATCTTTATTAAGTTTCTAATCAGTAGATTTCATGGGAAAATCCTAAATATCGTGCTTTTTTTCTAAGGTAAGATTTAGGTGTAGTACATTTATCCCCTTCCTTGGTCATGAGGATTCAGTTACAATGATCAAAATGTCTGGAGCCCACTTTCTAAGCCAGAAGTATTACAAGGACAATGGGCTAAGATGCAGATGATTCCTAACAAAGTGGGATGGCAAACTGTGAAACAGATTTAAATCACAACTTTTAGAACATAAAAGCTGTATTAAAAGTTACATTGGGACTCTTGTAGCATCCTGTCTTCACAGGGTAAGCAGGGCAAATTGGCTAAGAATCTATTAATGTGTTTTGGAATTATAGGAAGATGAACAAATATTTCTCTCTATATAAGACTTTGCTTTTTACTTTCACAGTGCAAATAGGAAACATCACAAGTGTTGAGTTTTTTTCAGGGAGTTCACTTGCTATATATATATATTTAAAACTAAGAAACCTGCTATAATTGGTTTTTAAATAATTTGTGCATGCAAGGTGACTTTTGTTAACGTTACTGCACTGTTAGCGTAACTGTCTTAATTAGAAAGTGTTAATCACAAGATTTTTTTTCAATAGATTTCAATGTAAAAACAGGTTCTTTATTGAAATCAGTGCTAGTGGAGACATAAGCTTGTCCCTGAAACTTCCCATTATACAATAAACGAGGATCATAAACCGACTAGGGATTGAGGATGTTAAATGTCAAGTAATTTACTAGTCAGCTCAGAGTCCCCCACTGACCCTGGGCTCCATGCTGCCCTGCCGCTTTGAAATGCCACACGGAGCCTGGGGTCAGCTTCTGGGCTCCATGTGACATCTCTGCAGAACCCAGGATCAGGTGGGGACTCCCTGCCTGATCCCAGGTTCCGCGGAAATGCTGCGCAGACCCCGGGATCAAAGTCCCCAGCTGACTCTGGGCTCCATGCCGCACTGCTGCTTTGAAATGCCATGGTGGTGTTTTAAAGGGGCAGTGCCACACAGCTGAGCCTGGGATCAGCTGTGCACCACTCCCCTTTGAAACGCCGAGGCATTTGCTTTTCAGATAGTTGACTAGTTCTTAACATCAGTGCTATGGAAGTTAAATATCTCTTAAGTGAATAGTCAGTTAACCTCATGAATTCTTATCTGTTCCTCGACTATTCTGTCGTTCTCGGGGGTAGGACCAGCAGACAGTGTGCTCTGGCCTCACTCCCGAGGAGTCCCCTGTCACTCCGTGCTGCTGCCTCTGTATCAGAGGCAGCAGCATGGGGTGGCAGGCAAGAGCTAGTCTATGAGGGTCGCCAGTTTAAAAAACAGCTCCCCTCATGAACTGGCTGCCTGTTGCAGCACAAGGTGGCAGCAGCCCCTGTCCATGGAGGGGGCTGAGCTCCCAGACCCGGTGCAAGCCGGAACTGAGCCAGGCTGCGTGCCCTCCTGGCTTCTACTACACTTTAAATGCAGAGCCGCAGCAGGGGTAGGTCTTGGACCTGGCATGAGTCAGGCTGCTGGCCAGCCTGCTAAAAGATGTACTGGCAGGGTATGGGAGGTGGGAAATGCATGTAGTCTATAGCATTAACCTATAAGCTTTTGCTTATCGGTTAATTGACTACACTATTACATCCCTAAAACAGACAAAAAATCAGCAGAAGGAAAGGATTATTACAAGATTATGTAGGGTACATGTCTTGATGGCTCCATTATCCTTAGTGCTTTTTGGGTTGTTTTTTTAACTTTTCATAGGTGAGACAGTAGTTTTGAGGGGAGAAAAATAAATGAGGGATGACTTGACCTCCTCTTTCCACTGAGAGAGAATTTGGTGCCTTTCCAGTCATGCTAAGTAAACCATCAGAGCTTGTAAACTGTCAGTCTTCAATATTTTTGAAGAGCCTACAAGTTCCTCAAGGTTAATTGTTTTGGGGGTTTCCTGATGTTTTTTTCAATGGGCAGTGTGTCTGAAGGGGATTGAGAAACCAAAATGTTAATAATATAAATTCAAAATGTTTAAAACTCAACATTCCTAGGAGAACTTTTGTTTGAACTTGCTAACTCAGAATCATTGCATTTGTAATTTATAGTCTTGTGTTTTAAATGTGTACAAAACATAAATGTTAAATGCCCTCATAAAATCTTTTTTTGGGGAAAAAGCAACACGCCATGTTTGAGAATACACAGTAAAACACACGCACACCCAGTTCTTTTGCTGTTATAGTTACCAGTCAGTCTTGTGGCCAGTTAGTGTGAGTGGAAGCCAGGCTTCTGTCAGTCCACACCAGTGCTCCAGGATCTTGGCAGAACAGGAACCCAAGAACATATCTTTATCTGGAGATTGTTTTGTATTGTTTAATATCAGTCTTTTGATGACTTTTCTGGGTGTTGTCCTGTCCTGGTTTTGTTGGGCTTTATTATCTTCACACATTGGGAGTGCTTGGTTCTAACTTCAGGATGTCCAATCTGCCCCTCATCCATCACCATGCCATGGGTACATTTGATAGTCCTTTGCACCCAAAGTCTCCAGCCCCTTCTTTGACCATCTGCATGCCATGCTGGCCTTAAGACTAATCTCTTTTAAAACAAACACTCACCTTCTTCACTCACAAAAAGCCAAAACTACATAATTGATTAACACAAGCAAGAATTACATAGTTGCTTTTACCAAAACAGATCTAGTACACAATAATATTCTAAGATTAAAATAACAAATACTATTACAAAGTCTTCCATAATACAAAAAACGTTCTGACATTCTTAAATTTAAAGAAGAAAATAATCCTCCGGTAAAAGGGTGACAGATAGACCCTTTGGATCTGTTGCTGCTTTAACATTAATAATAAACACAAATAGCTTGCTTAATGCATCTTTACCAACAGCACTAGACTGTTCCTTTCTGCTAGTCAAAAAGGATGGCTGGCAAGGTACATTGAGACGCATTACATTGCCTAAGGCTACATTTTAGCCACATGGCTACATTATCTCCAATATAATACAGACTGTAGAACTTTTTCAAAATAATTTTTTAGAATATCTGTTTTAGGAAAAAAAAAATCTAATCTACATTTTATCATTGCCAAAAATGGAGATTCAGTCATGACCCTTGCTAAATTGTTCCAAGTGTTAATTATACTCACTGCCTTATGTCCTGTCTGAGGATGTCAACTTTTATTTCTGGCCATTGGATCCCATAATACATTTGCAAGATAGAAGTAACATTATCATATATGTGTTCCACATGTAGTAGTTATAAACTAATGTTGTCACCCTATATCCTTCTCTGTTAAGCTAAATATATTGAATTTGTTTAGTCTGTCATTAAAGGGTTAGAAAATGCCCCTTATAATCATTCTCATGGCTCTTCTCTGAATACAGCCATTTATTTAACAGTTGATATTTTGTAATGTCCCTTAGTGACTTCAAATTCTAGTTTGGTCTGTTTAATAAACAAAACCATATTTCTTTTACACCCCAAGATCAATCCCTGGATTTTTCCTCCCTGGATCCCAGCCATGATTTGCCAAAGATGACATGATGCTCTGTACTAGCAACCTCTTCTTACCTATGTAAGAGACTGAATTTTGTCCAGCAGAATAAGTGACAATTCTGTGAGCATGTCCAAAAGACTCGTGTGAGACCATGTTCCATTTTTTTGGGCAGTAAATAGTGCTTCCAACACAGAAATGGTACAAAGGGGGATGTGCAGTTTACTACTAGTTTTGGTGTAAAGCAGGTAGTCAGAATTTTGGGGTGCTGAACCAAGCCCACTTCACTTCAGTTGTAATTGTTGTTTTCTCTTAGTGTGATTTGTTTGAATGAAAGTGAATTCTAGAGATTCACAAGATTCTTGAGCAAAAAATAGTAAATGTTTTAATCCAGTATGCTGCAGTAAGTGCTTAGCTATTGTTTTTTTCTATTTTGTTCATGTGTGGTGTGGTTTTGTTTTTGTTTTGTTTTTGAAAGAATTGTGGTCCCCAAGCACACCGGAATAACATAGCCAGTAGGCCCACTGCAGGTGGAATATTCAGAGATTGTAAATGGTCAGCTCTTAGAAGTCTCTCCTGAACCATGTGCAGAACTTCATTTTACCTTACACTGTGTCACTGTTGATGTTGTACTAGTTTTGTGCATGTAATAAAAGATATCAGACTTCAGTGCTGTCATCAGTACATTCCATAGAACAAAATTTACCTGGGGGGGGAACCCTACAGGACACCTAACTTTTATTGTCTTTTGTCTTTGTTCAGGATTGATATTGCCTAATGGAGATATTAATTGGAATTGCCCATGCCTTGGTGGAATGGCTAGTGGTCCCTGTGGGGAACAATTCAAATCGGCCTTTTCCTGTTTCCACTATAGCACAGAAGAAATAAAGGGATCGGACTGTGTGGACCAGTTCCGTTCTATGCAGGAGTGCATGCAGAGGTATCCAGACCTCTACCCCCAAGAAGATGATGAAGAGGAGAAAGAAAAGCAGAGCAAAGATTTAGAAACTACTTCTGCAGAGGCTGTGGTAGCCAAAGAGGAGACGGGATCTAGCTAATGAAGATACATGGAGGCTTTTGTCTCCATTCCTTAAAATCAGAGACATGGACGTTTTGCAAAGTGTCTGTCTAGAGTCTTTAAGAATTTTCACCTTTACTTAGGGTTTACCTTTACTGTTCTATACATTGTATTGTATGAAATAACTTATTCCTGGAGTGGAGATCTCATCCCTGTGGTCTTGCAAGTAAACACTGCAGTAAGAGCAAGGGCGTATGTATGTACTGTGTAAACTGTTATCGGTGCAACCACTGCTTTACATGTTTTTTCTCCAGTTGTCAGTTTGCAGATTAGGTTGAATAATGTCTGTAAAACATACTTCTTCCAACCAAAAAGTTTCATTAGCCAGTGACAGGTCTATATCTATTTCAGTTCATTCTGATCAGTCATTATTCCTTTTCAGTGTGTTCTGTGCTGTTGATCGGAAAAGTGTTTTGTGGAATTTCTTAAAGCTTCTCTGCCAGACAATAGCCCATAAAGTTGAAAAGGGTCTAAGCCTTAGAGGTTGCAACATTTATAATTTCAAACGTCATCAGAAGATATTGGCTGCATATACTACTAATTCCAGGTAAAGACTTCCTGAAAACTAAAATTTAAATATGTGGCTTTTTTAATGTTATGAATTGAATAAGATTCTGCATTTTGAAAATGGTGATGTGTTGGGCAGTTTTTGATAAAACTATCACATGAATGGGAAGAATGCTGATCACTGTGTTCCTTTGTTCTGAAAGCTCTGCTTTTGGGCTCTCTCTGAGTGCCTATTCCTTTTGTAAAGACAAGTTATTACAATATGTTGTTGACGATAAAATTGAAATGTTACCTGGAGTAACACCCTCAAAGAAGATACTATGACTTGAACGCATATTAAAAAGGCAAAATCTTTTTACCTTGCAGACACCTGTCTCTTTTTTTGTGTGGTGGTGGTGGTGGTAGTTCTTGGATTGAAAGTAGAGTATGACATGCTCTTATATTCTGAAGAGATTTTGAACTCATCTGAAATACCTCTTAGGTTAAAGTAGCTGACTTCTGTATTTGCCAGGTATATGGTTTATTCCTCCTTTCTCTGAGAAGCATGAACAATGAAAGCATCTCATGAGGCAGAAGTGGGATGAGTACAGGGCACACTTCAGAAGTCCATAGTGGCTATGAAGTGACAAGAGCCTCTTGCCATAATACATGAATCCTGTAAAGTTAAGTACAGTAATTACTCATTTAACACGTGCCCACTTAACACGTTTTTGCAATAGCACAATTTTTTTAGGGAATGTTTTTCGAATAACATGACCATCCCTGAAATAACATGAAAATAATCAAGGGGTGGACTACTTCACGGGGCCATATAAGTTGGTGAAAACAGTGGTAATAAGCATGAACAGATGAATACATGTGGTCACAGCGCTCCTCCGCTCACTCACGTGTTTATCTTTGTGGTTTAACAAATTCTGGCGACTTGTATTGCTATATGTCTTGTTAGATATCTAATGTTGAAGTTGATGACCTAACACCAACAAAAAATTGACTTCGACGCCACCACTTGAAATGTAACCCCCACCTTTTTCATTATTTTTAATGGGAAAATTGACCCCGCATAGCATGTTTTCACTTAGCACAAACATTTTCAGAAACGCATCTATTGTGTTAAATGAGGAATTACTATATCTGCAACATGAAAGAGGAGATGATCTGCTTTAGAGTTGTATATGGACACTATACTAAAGATTACATTGATTACAACTGGCAGGTCAACAGGATACTACATATAACACTCACTCCACTAGCAAAGAAAACACAGCCATGATAGTCAGATGTGGTGCATATACTTAAAGGGATCTGACTCAAGTGGAGCTTGCCTCAGTGTCATGTGGAACCTGCCTTCATGCTCATTAGTCAGTTGTTACCAAAATATAGCACAATACATTTTACAATAATATTCCCTCCAGCAGGTGTGACAATGTTGAGATATTTGTCTGTCTTGGTGACTGAAAGCCTTTTGCTTCATTACTCAACATTGGTGAGGTGCCCTGTATCAATACTTTGGTCTGTTACTTATTAAATTATTTCAGTTTAATAGGACCTATTCTCTTCCACTGGCCTCTAAAGTACTGTCTGTACTCTTTTTGAATTTTAGTAGTTATTGAATCTTCGTGCAGGATTAGGTATTGGGTAATAACTCAATCGTAGGGAGATGGATAGCAAATACTCTGGGCATTTAAAAGAAGCAAAGTGTGCGAAAGTTTCAGTCTGTGAATGAAACAATCAGTAAAATAGATGTCAAGTTAACAATTTGAGCAAGTGGGCACATTGTGCTAAACTTTGAGGCCTAGACAATTGGTCCATGGAGAAATGAAATCTCATTATCAGAGCCCAGTATTTATATCGAATCACATGTACCTGAACCTTTGTTTTTCAGAAGGAAACTTAGCTTGCTATTTGTTAAAGCAGTAACAGAGAGTGAAGGAGTTCTATGTTCTAAGAATTGCTTTCCCATTGTGCTTCTCTACCATGCTTTTCTTTCCCATGCTGCCTTGTCACCTTGCTGCTTTAAGATTTATTATCTGTAACTGAGTATTTGAAGCATCTGTACTGAATACAGAATGCATGAGTTCTAGCCTTGAATTTTGTTGCATTTGAATCCATACTTCAGTCCCTTGTCAATATGTCCCATACTGTTATAAACCATTAAATATTTGTTCCTAATTATGTCATCTATATGCTGAACAAACAGGAAAGAGTCTCTGCCTCAAAGTGCTTGCACTTCTAATTTCCTAATCAAAACACTGTCAACTTTTCAGTATACAATTTTATAATTAAGAATAGATTATTTAATTTAGGACAAAGTTAACCAAAGTTGCCTCCTGCCGTTTCAAATGAAGACTGTTTGTAATTCCTTGTTCCAAACTGCGTGCTCTATATTATTGTGTCCTACCCCAGATGTGGCTGCATTGCACCTGTGGATAGAGCTTAACATACTTTAGGATTCTGTTTTGCCTAACTTATTTGTATAAGATGGTGCCTAGGAGCCCTAGATGTGAGCCAGGACTCCATTGGGCTAGGTTTTATATAAACAGAATAAAAGGATAGTACCTGCATCAAACAGTTTACAACCTAAGTAATTATTCAGGTTTCTATATACACAAGAGGATGTGTAAATAGATAGTCACATCTCAAATATTTTATGAAAAGGAATTCTGGAATTGTAGGAGATAGTTTAGCTTTTTAAGAGAATTCAGTAGAAAACAATGTATTTTGCACTTGTATAAAAGATGCACAAGGGGCTGTCTCTCACAGAGCAAGTGCTTGTAACATGGAGTCGGCGTAGGACATTGTGAGGGGTGGGTGAGGCCTAACGGATCAGGATCAGTTTGGGGGCCAATTTTATTTAATCTTTTTATCGCTGACCTTGGCACCAAAAGTGGAAGTGTCCTGATAAAATTTGCAGATGACACAAAGTTGGGAGGTATTGCCAATTGAGAAAAGGATCAGGATATCATACAGGAAGATCTGGATGATCTTGTACATTGGAGTGATAGCAATAGGATGAAATTTAATAGTGAGAAGTGTAAGGTTATGCATTTAGGGATTAATAACAAGAATTTTAGTTATAAGCTGGGGACACATCAGTTGGAAGTAACGGAGGAGGAAAAGGACCTCGGAGTCCTGGTTGATTATAGAATGACTATGAGCCGCCATTGTGACATGGCCGTCAAAAAGGCTAATACGATCTTGGGATGTATTAGGCGAGGTATTTCCAGTAGGGATAAGGTATTTCCAGTAGGGATAAGGCATTGGTGAGACCCCATTTGGAATACTGTGTGCAGTTCTGGTCTCCCATGTTTAAGAAAGATTAATTCAAACCGGAACAGGTACAAAGAAGGGCCACTAGGATGATCCGAGGAATGGAAAACCTGTCTTATGAAAGGAGACTCAAGGAGCTTGGCTTGTTTACCTTAATCAAAAGAAGGCTGAGGGGGGACATGATTGCACTTTTAAA